TCTTCCTCCTCTAGATAGAAAATAGAGAAAGGAAAAGTTCGGCAAATTTCCCCCCAAGGCACACTCTTGGCACCAAGATCACCAGAGCAAAAACCACAATCGGACTCTTACTCCTTCAACCCAGGAAATGTGAAGGACGAGACAGCTTAGTCACCTTCTGCATTTCCCTGCAGAGAGAGTGTGCTGGGACTTCAGGTGGTCAGGGGTCCCTTCTCTGCTACAGAGAAAGATACGTTCATTTTCCGTGCAAAGTTAGGACCAAGCGTTGCAAACTGTCAGAACTGACAGTGGTGCGGGCTCCCAAAGGTGCGCGGCCGCGATCTACAACGGAGACACACTGACCCCTAGTGGCCAGCTGGACCCTCACAGCTCCTGCGCCGCTGCTCCCGGCCTTGCTGGGGCTCCATCCAACCTGCAGAAGCCGCATGTAGCAGGGGGAACTGTGGGGTCGCCGTCGCCTGCCCCGCCGTGGACACATATATGGAAATACACATACTCACCCACAAACCTGCACACAGACTTACATGCAGATGCACATAGACAGGCATACGTGCATAGACATGGACCGATTCCAGATACACACCACACGCAGAGACACAGAGGCACAGCGACATAACCACGCACACAGGCACACACCGTGGACCAGTTCTCGTCTCCTTCACCAAGTCCCTAGACTGGAGATTTCCTGAGGTCCTGGAGCAAAGGCCAGGCCTGTTTCTCTGGGCATTACAGACACAGGCCAGCAGAGTGGCAAGGAGCTGCTGGCTGCCCAGAGACTTCTACGTAGCAGGCAGTACATGCGCAGGGCCTGAGAAAGCCCCCGCTGTGCAGATGAGGAGGCAGAGGTGGGGGTGGGGTGGCTTTCCCATCCAGCCCTTGCACATGTTCCTACCAATTTCAGACATTTTGCATAGCATTGATCTGCCTGGATCTTTCGAGCACTTGACCTGTATTTAATCCTCATCCCTGCCCCAGGCGGTAAGTGCTAATACTATCACCCAGTTACAGATGAGGGAACTGAGGCCCAGAGAGTTCAGGCCCCTAGGGAGAGGTGGTCCCAGCACTCAGCCCAGGCAGGGAAACCTCAGAGTGCTCTCCCCAGCTGGGAGCTTCCTCCAGGGCTCACCAGAGCCTGGTCACTTGTGTGGAGAGATGGGGGTGTCGCCCACTGGTTCCCGCAGACCTCTTCCTGCTCAGGACCCAGTGTGGTGGCCGAGGCAATGCAGAACAGGGGGCTGCCAACTGGTGGCTCCAACTGGTGCAAGAGGAGATGGGAGGTCATAAGCAGGTTCTTGCCTTCAAAGTCTCATGCCCCCCAGGGGCACCCCAAATGGATCAAAATCTTTTGGGGGCATGCCCAGGAGGACTGAGCCCCGCTAGTGCTTTTTGGCGAGCCAGGCGATGGATTAATGCAAGGGCCCAAGGCTGCAATGCTACTCGGGCCTGTGGTGCCGGGTCTCCCTGGCTACTCAAGGAACCAGGTGGTGTGCGAAATGAAACTGGGGTCAGGGGCCAGGCGAGAAGGCTCAGGAAAGATGGTAGGATGGCTAGAAGGGCACCTGGAAGCATGGCCCCGAGACAGAGCAGTGCAAGCCCACTCCTCCAGCCCACCACGTGACAAGATGTTTGCAAGCACACCCATACCCTAGTCCGACTGTCACAAGAGGAGTCAGACACTGGACTGTCATCTCCCATCCCCTGGGCTTAGTATCATCCTCATGGTGAGCTACAACAATTTTCACACATTTTTTTCCCTACAAAAATAATTTTTTGATCACTCCACTAGTCAGAGAATGGTAACAAGTATTGCAAATTAAATTACTGTGGGTCTGCTATGGGGGCAGGCTTGAGGGGTGGTTGGGGAAATGGAGACAGTGGTGGAGGGAAGGGGACAGTGGTGGTGGGATTGGGGCTGGAATGTTGGATACCTGGAACAAATCATCACGCCCAACTTTGTCAATGACGGTGTTTAAAGAAAGTGTGTGTGTGTTTGGTGGGGGGGGGGGGGGAGTAACAACATGTCTGACATGAGTGTCCCCTTCTGCATTTCACTTCATATCAGCTTCAGAGCAGGCCCCAAAGTGAGTGTGTATGACCCCATTCTGGCTTCTTGGACGGGGGGGGGGGGGGGGGGGGTTGGTTTGTGGGCCACACCTGGCAGTGCTTAGGGTCACTCCAGAGGTGCTTGAGGGACTTTGTGGTATCAGGGATCCAACATACAAAGCTCTGGCCCTTTGAAATCTGACCCTAGCCCGAACAACCCCACTTTGAACAAGAGAAAGCTGGAGGGATCTTTCCAAATGTTCAGGCTAATGCAGAGAGACCTAGACAGCCAGGCCTCCTGCCTCAGCAGCTTATGCCTCTCCACACTGACACTGACAGCCAGGGCCCCCACCCAGGGAACCCCCAGCCCTGCCCCTGCAGCCCTGCCCTCCTCCGCCCACCCCCAGCAGCTCCTTGAGCCCGCAGGACTGTTCCTGTCTTAAGATCATTGCCCCGGCCGGCCGTTCCCTCAGCCTGGAATGCTCTTCCTGTCCATGGATGAAAGCAGTTGGCTCCTTCCTGTCATTCCGGTGTCAGCTCAAGTGTCACCTCCTCCGAAAAGCCTTCCTTGTCCACCCCACCAAAAATAGCCTTCCTTCCAGTTACCCCTGGTTGCATCACTGCTGTATCTTCTTCCCAGCAGTTACTCGCCTCTGGTGATTTCTTGTTTAGTCACTATTGTTGGTCTCATCTCGTGGACAGTCTGGGCGTTCGATTACCTAGCACAAATCCACCCAGAGCTCAGCAAAGCCGCAGGAGCTTGGTGGACTGCAGGCCACTGCTCTTCATGGCCACCCTTTGACCGTAGGTTCTATTAGTAACCCCATTTTATAGAAGAAGATACTGGGGCAGCCAAGAGTTGACCCTCCCTGGGCTCTGCTCTCACCCACTACGAAAACATCGGCCAACAACAGAAAGGCAACGGGGACAATTTTAACACTCGGGGAAAGGACTTAAATAGACATTTCTCGCAAGAAATGCACAAGGAACCATTAAGCACAGGAAGGGAGATTCAGTGCTATTAGTCAGAGGGAAATAAGAATGTGGGCTGGAGCAATAGCACAGAGGGTTGGGTGTTTGCCTTGCATGCAGCTGACCCAGGTTCGATTCTCAGCATCCTATATGACCCCCCGAGCACCACCAGGAGTAATTCCTGAGCACTACCAGGAATAATTGCAGAGCCAGGATAACCCCTGTGCATCGCCAGGTGTGACCCAAAAAGAAAAAAAAAGAATGTAAAGCAACACACACACACACACAGACACACACACACACACACACACGGTAGGGTGGCTCTATTCAGGAAAGCAGAAGGTAACAAGTGTCAGCAAGGAAGTAGAGAAATTGGAAACCTCGTCCATTGCTTATGGGAACAGAAAATGGAACGGCCACATAGAGAGATGGGGAGTTCCGCAGCCCACTCAATGAAGAATTACCCCTTGCTTCTCGGCCCCGATTCCCAGGCATAGATAGAGCCAGAGGAACGGAACCCAAACATGCACACATGCTGGAGAGACAGCTCAACTGGCCCAGCCCGGGCTCTGCATGCTGGAGGCCTGGGGTACTTCAAGAGGTATGAAGGTTGTATGAAAGAAGGAACAGGACTGACACCAATAGCAAGCTGCTCTCCCAGAAGACACACGGCAGCTACAAAAGGCGAGGGGTCCGAGTTTCATGGCTGCCCAAGGTGGAAGCCAGCAGCAACATGCCCCACCCCAGGATTCTCTGGCAAGTTCAAAGAGGGAGCCTCATGGCTAAACCTGCCGCTCTTCTGGGGGAGTCCTACACTCCTCTCCAGTGCTCCACGACACTCCTCTCCAGTGCTTCATGAGACTCTCCTCCCCCGTGCTCCATGACACCCTTCTCCCCAGTGCTTGATAACACTCTCCTCTCCAGTGCTCCAGGACACTCCTCCCCAACACTCTCTACTCCAGTGCTCCAGGACACCCCATTCCTCCCACTCCTTCGGCCCAGGGGAGGTCAGAACTCACACCTGCCCTTCTCCAGTTCTGCCTGCAACTCTGCATGGCTAGAAAAGGCACATCATAAGTCTAATGCTCACTTATTAAAGGATCTGTGGGTAATAGCAGTGATCAAATTGACTCTGCCCGACTCCTGTATTTACTTCTCCACTATTCTAAACTTAAGAGAGCAAAGATCGAAGAGAGCAATCCTCTCCACCTCCTGAATGTTAAACCCCACATGCATTTTCAACTCCCCCTTCTTGGGGAACCCCTAGAGTCAGGTGTTCCTAGAGCCTGGGTCTGGTACCCAGCCATCACCAACCCCAGGGAGAGGGCTGGGCCAGGACACACATGCACAAACAGCCTCCCTTCCAGCCTATTTTTTGAGGGTGCCTAAGCCTCCCTAGGCCAGCCCAGCCCACTCTTTTGCCCTCCACATATCTGTTTTGGGGGTTGTTTGATCGTCAGATCTCCGACTCTGGGGGTTGTGGGAGAGACATTCAGGCACTGAACCCACTTTTCACTTTTCACAAGAAATGTGTGCCTGGCTTGAAGGTCCCTGCACCCAGTGATGCCCCCGCTCGAACCAGGTCCTCTCCTCGTGGGAAACCGCTGGAGACGTTCGGCCACCCTTTCCTTCAGAGAGCGGGGTATGGTGGACGCAGCTTCTCGGAGCCAAACCGGGGAGGGTCTTCTCTGCTTTCTCCTTGGAAAGGGAAGGAGGTGCTGCCCAGAGCAGCTTGAACAGCAAGGTTTATTAGAGCAGGGAAAATGAGGGGCAAGGAACTGGCAAAGAGTGGGTGCCCCTCAGTCCCCGCCAGCCCACAGCACAGTCCCCCCACACCCATTCAAGCGGGGGGCAAGGTCAAGCCAATGACAAGCAGGGATGCTAGTCATCCTGAGTCAAGTAGGTCAGGAAACTGAGACTGCACAGAGACTGCTACCCCCCCTCCCACCCCAGGGCACCGGTGACAAGCACCCAGGACAGGAAAACCCGTTTCCATGGGACAAAAAGATGAAAGGAGATGCGTGTTCTGTTCTGCCATCATCCAGGCTGATGTTTATCTGAATGGCTGCTGGAAAAAAGAAGGGAAACCAGCGTTAGGAGGAGGAGGCTGAGGAAGAGGAGGGTGAGGGAGGAAGAGACTTGGCATAAGGAGGAAACAGCCACAGACTATCATTTCCTGGAGGAGGGGGGAGGGTGGGAGAAGGTGTACTTCAAGTCCACACACACACACACACACACACACACACACCACAAAGTGTAAACACACTCATACAGACTTAACTCTCACACAAACACATTCAGAGACACACTCAAAACACACGCACTCACACACAGACTCACTTCACATACCCTCACACAGATTCACACTCATTTACACACTTGCAACTCACAAACACACTCACTCATACACACTCAGGGCCACACACAGACACACAGATTCACACCCAGATGCACTAACACTCACAGATACACATTCACTCTCACATGTTCACACTCACTCACCCAGACTCATACTTTCTCCAACACACACATGCACCACACACACACCCACACACACACACACACATACACACACTCAGACATATGCTCACATACTCATGCACACATTTATACAGACACATTCACTTCACACAGAGATACACACACACACAGACACACTCACCCTGGGCCAACTACCGGCCTTCTGGAACATTCTGACCTGCTAGAGCCAGGTTTGGGTATCACCCATTTGGAATGCAAAGGGAGTCCCTGTAACTACCCACAAAAACACACTCAACAGCACCAAGACTGAGGGTGCCTCTTGGCGCTAACGACAGCCCGGCACAATATGCAGGGCTCGTCCACACTGAGGCCCACAGAAGGAACGACACTCTCTGCTAAACCAGCAAAAACGCATTTGGCTTCTTCATCTTCCACTGGATGTGAAAAGGGTTTGGCAAAGAGCAGGGGACAGAGAGATGGTGAGAGAACCAGGAATGGGCCCCCCAGAGCCCAAAGGTGCAGAGGAGGGTTTGCAGGCATGCAAGGGACTCAGGTGGACTAGAAGAGGAAAAGAGGAAGAGGGGAGACTGAGGCACCAGGCAGAGGCAGGCTGGAGTTCTAGTTGCAGGAAGGTAAGGAGGCGCTGATGCTGCTGATGGCAGCGGAGAGGCTGAACCCATCTGAGAGGCGGAAGCCCATCCCAGCCAGGGACCCAATCTGCACAGGCCCCTGCTCCAGACCGTGACTCCAGAGAGATCGTTCTGGAAGGCCAGCAGGACCAGTCTTTCCTGAGTGGCATCATCCCTGCCCGGATCCTGCAACCACCAGCCCTGCTCACTGCATCCCCAACCCCCTGCCCTCTCCTGCCTCACCCTTGCCACTGCCCTTCCCACCTCCAGCCAGCTGCCTTCTCCAGAAACATGCTCTCAGGGGTCCTCCCGCCCACACCAGTTCGGCAGGCCGGGGAGAATCACCTACCGGAGCTGGCCCGAGCCCTTAGACAGGATGGACCAAGTTCCTGTCACAGTGGGGCTTGCAGTGGGGGTTCAGCCAGTGCTCCAGGAACTGCTCCTCAGCTCGGTGCTCCAGGCGGAGGAGGTGGTGCATGTACTCCTGTGGAAACAAACCCAAGGTGAGCCCTGCTTCATGGGTGCGCGGCCAGCTGCAGTGGGACCTGATGCCATCTGTGGGCACGGCCAGACAGGTGTCAGGCACAGGCCTGTGTCTCTGCAGAGGTTGAGGGTGAAAGCAAGAATTCTGACTGGCCTGAGCCAGAAGGTTGGTCTCCGTGGGAAGGTGCATATGACACTCAGGGACGAAGAGGACAGATAAACCACTTTGCAACTGGGTATTGGCTTCCCAGACCTGCCTCTCCTCAGGGATACCCTCATGGAGGGACCCTCCAACATCCATCAAGCCTCAGAGGAACGTAGAGTGGTGGTGGGCAGCCTTCCACCCAACCAGAGTTTCTGATTCAGTGGGTCAGGGTGGGGGTCCCAGTCTCCATTTATGACAAGTTCCCCACCCCCAGTGAATGTTTGTAGCACTTTGAGAACAAGAGAAATACAGACGCTGGAGCTGTGATCCAGAACCTTCATCACAGCCACCAATCTGGATGTGCAGGGACATTCCCCACACACCTAACAGGAAAATGGGAACAAGAATGATGGGGGTGTCCAGGGGTGATTTATTATCAAATAAAATCAACTCTTTAAAAAAGAAAAAAATGTTACTAGGAGTAAAGGAGAGTTTTATAAAATAGTTTGGAAGTTCCTCAAAGTGTTAGAAAGTTAAGATAGAACCCAGCACTTGAATTCCTAGTTTCATGCCCAAGAGAAAGGAAAATGTATTCCCAGTCTCAACTTTGTACACAGATACATGGTCAGAAAAATAAAGTGTGGTTATGTCTGTATGGGGAGGGGGAATATTATGTGGCTGTTAAAAAGAAAGAACATGCTGGAACATCCCAAGGTGTAGGTGAACCTTAAAGCTGTGTGTGAAGGGCCCAGGAGAATAGTAAGGCACTGACTTTACAAAGCCCTGACCTAGGACCAACCCCAGCTGACATAGTTCCATCCCTGGGCACCCCACCTGGTCCCCTGAGCTCACCAGGAGTGATGCCTGAGCACAGAGCCAGGAGGAAATCCTGAGAACTGCAAGGTAAGACAGAAAGAAAGAAAGAAAGAAAGAAAGAAAGAAAGAAAGAAAGAAAGAAAGAAAGAAAGAAAGGAAGGAAGGAAGGAAGGAAGGAAGGAAGGAAGGAAGGAAGGAAGGAAGGAAGGAAGGAAGGAGGAAAGAAAGGAAGGAAGGAAGGAAGGAAGGAAGGAAGAAAGAAAGAAAGAAAGAAAGAAAGAAAGAAAGAAAGAAAGAAAGAAAGCATGCTAAGTGAAAGGAGAGCTGAGTCACAGAGGCCGGCTTACTGCATGACTGCAGTCCTGGGCAATATGAGTGACTCTCCTGGCCGCCCACTGCTCATGCATTTCTCATGCATGAATAACTTTATGAGACCCAAAACATGCATAGCTGGAGGATCCCCTTGGGAGACCTCCTCTTCACTCCACCCCACACACACAAAAATCATCTTTTTAAAAAAAAGAGTATCCGTGACAAAGCTGGAGTTGCTGTACAATTATCAAATAAAACTAACTCCTTAAAAAAAGAAAAATGTTACTAGGAATAAAACAATAAAACACCTCAGGAACTCCCGAACTAGGTTCAATCCTCAGCACCGCAGATGGGACCCCCAAGCACTGGTCAGGAGTGATCCCTGAGCACAGAGTCTGGAGAAAACTCTGAGCACAGCTGGTGTGATTGTGGCCCCAAAACAACAAATCGTAGTGCAACATAGTAGTGCTCTGAGCAGGAGGTGAGGGTCACTCCCTGGAGGATCCCCCACCTCCCCTGGGGCCCCAATAGCAAGGAGAGTTCCTGCCCTCCCCTCTGTCACTGACGGTCACTTCTGACTCCAAGTTTCTCGGGAACCTGTCTCTCTTGGTGGCGTTCGTGCTGTGGGTCTGAACGCTGGCTATGCCCCCTCTGCAGTCTTGTGCAGGGCAGTTTTCTTGCCCATTCAGCCATCATCCCCACCTCATCCCTGCGACCATTAATTTTTTTTACCATCTACATAATTGCCTATTTAAGAAGTTGGACTCCACAGCTGCCCCTTTTTCTTTTTGCTTAGAAATAGCGATTTGAGCTTCTCCTAGGACTTTGTATGACTTGATAACTCCTCTTCCAAATCCTCTTCTTCCGTAAGAATGACACACACTAAGGATGACACACGCTCTATCTCTTCATGCCTTGGATGGCATCTCAGTTGCTTTCAAGTCTTGACAATCAGGAATAAAGGGTCTATAACCATCATAAAGGGCCTATAACCATCTGTGTGTAGAATTCTGTCTTCACATCACGTCTTCCATTCCTGTGGGTAAATATCAAGAAGCATAATTGCTGGCTCTTCTGGGAAGAGTAGGACTTGTTCTGTGACAGACTGTCAGCCAGAAATTACTCCTGACGGTGCTCTGGGGACCATATGGGATGCTGGGAATCGAACCTGGGTCAGCCACGTGCAAGACAAATGCACTACCTGCTGTACTATCACTCCAGCCCCTTGATTTGATTTTATTATAATAGTGATACAGATCCCTGTTATTGAAGCACTGTAGCACTGTCCTCCCATCGTTCATCGATTTGCTCGAATGGGCACCAGTAACGTCTCTATTGTGAGACTTCTTGTTACTGTGTTTGGCATATTGAATACATTATGGATAGCTTACCAGGTTCTGCCATGTAGGCGCAATACTCTCAGTAGCTTGGCAGGCTCTTGAGAGGAGCAGAGGAATCCAACCGGGGTCGGCCCAGGTGGGCCGCGTGCAAGGCAAATGCCCTACCCACTATGCTATCACTCCTGTTATTGAAATCATGTAAAAATAGAAGGTGGTATGAAAAAAGTGGGAAATTTCTCTTGCTCTCTTATCTAGGCTTACTTCAGACTGTGTTCAGAGATCATTCCTGACAGGCCCAGAAAGACCATACGGGGTTCCAGGGATCTAACTCTGATCAGACACATACAAGGAAAGAGCGCTACCCACTGCACTCTCTCTCTGGCCCCCACCCCCACCCCACTTGAGCTTTTGTGCTCTCTTCCCTTGGCATAGGCTCTGCTCTGCTCTCAGCCTGGAACACTCCATATCACCTCTGTTCCCTGCCTCCCCCTTTCTGAGTTTTCAGGCCTCAACTTTACTGTGACATCTTCCAGGGAGCCTTTTTCAATAAGCCCAGAGCTCTGAAGACTTCCCCAGGGTCACTCTACTTGGCAGTGATTTCTCTCTGGTGGGGGGTGGGGGGGCATACTTGGCTCTATGCTCAGGGACTGTACCTAAGGGGTCATATGTGATGCTGGAACTAGAATGAATCATTGTCTCAGCCACATGCAAGGCAAGAGCCTTAACCTTTGCATGAACTCACCAAGCCTGGTGGTACTTACGAGTACTGCCGGCCAGAAATTACTGGGTCTAAATGCTGGCTATTACTGTTACTCCTGCAACAGTACTCAAGGAGTGTTCCTGGCTGTGCTCAGAGTGCTAAGGTTTGAACCCAGGCTCAAGCCCAAGCCCCACACATCCTAGTCTTTAATGGAAGAGCCACAGGGTTAAGCTAGCATATTTGCATAAGATCTTGATGTTACTCCCGAAGGGGAATACATATAATTTTTAATTAGAGGATGTATGCGGTGGGTCGGCATTGCCCAGAAAGAATTCTGGGTGCTATAATTATGGGGTGCAAAGCATTGCAAAGAAGGTGTAAAACATCCGTATAAAGCCGTTAGGTTACCGGAAGCAGCCAGCCATTTGTCAGCCAAGAGGCACTTTTCCCTGGGAGAGTACAGCCACTTCTATAGCTCTGGAAAACTTTCAGCAAAGGAGCAAAAGGGTCCAATTTACAATTTGAAGATCTTAAGTTTCTAGAAATTTGACCACCTGGAGTTGTTTTCAAATCTTTTTGACATGGCTATAAAGGCATGAAGTAAAAGGTGTGGGATTTTCCTGAAACTGTTTCCTTTTCCCCTAGAACCCATGGATCTTGAATGCTTTCTGATGCTTCATTGTTTCCATTTAACCCATAGAACTACATCCCCACCCAAGTAGCTGGGGCCTGTCCACACCCCCACGGGTAGCTGTGGAGAGGCGATGAGGAGAGGATGCCCTGGGGACCCAATGATGCTTCTTTGCCAGGCCCATCCTTGATTTGGGGGCTGACCCTACCCTGTCCCTCCCAGTCCTGGGAAGTTTGGACCACAAGAGAGCAAAGGGGTGGGGGGGAGGGGAACAGGAGCAGTGTGGATTTCTGGAACAGAGACTTGCCAGGCATTCACTTTGTTTCTTCGACTGTCCCCAAGAAACCACTCACCCCACTACCCTCCCCAGGCTTAGCCATGCATGGAGAGGCCAAAGGGTCCCATGGGTCTGAGCTTGGGTCTGGGTCAAACGCCAACATTCCTTGAACTCTGCCTTAATTTGTCCATCTGCAAGACAGGTGTGGCACTAACACTGACTCCATTGGGTTGTCAGGGTCCAATGGAATGACACAGACCAAGTCCTGTGCTCCACACAGAGCGTTGATTTGCCCCATGAGCCCGCTTGGGCCCCAGCCACCAGAAAGGCTGACCTCTGAGATCACACATGACCTGGCCCTGGGTGTTCCCAGTGGATTCAGGGATTAGAGGGAGGAGGAGAGAGAGGTGGGGGGTTCCTAGTCCCTGAGCAGCTCTCTGAGTCATCACAACAGGTAAACCGTCTGGTCCAGCCAATTCTCCTGGCAACTGTCCCCCTTTCCTGCCCCTCAAGGGCCATCAGTATGGGGCTTTCAGTGCTGTTTTTCTAAATAAGTGCTTATTGAGTTGACATGAGTTTGATAGCATTCTACAAATTTCAGGGGTATGGCATTATAATTCAAGATCATGAATCTTACAATAACTGCTTCCAAAAGTCTAGTTTCCATCTCTCTGTGCCATATAGTTGCATCTTCCCATCACCACTCGTCAACCTCATTCTGTTCTCTGCATCCAAGAGCTAGGTTTCTGCTTGGTTTAAATTTTGGCGTGGTCAGAGGAG